CAGATAGATATATGGCTGTATTAATTAAGAAAGCATGTCTGATACTGTTATTTCTGGCTTTTGGTGTTTAATATTTTTTTTTATAAATTATGCTCTGTTTAAAGATGTGTAATTACAGAAGTTAACATATGTTGTGTCACATCAAAACCATTGTCTGAATTATGAGCGGTTCAGAATGAGCGCTCAGTAAAAACTGCAGAAGCACTTTATTGGCTCAATTGATGTGATTGCTTTGCCTTTCCTGAGCCCTGCAGGGAGGATCTCAATATTCTCCTACCCACCTTGGTGATACCAGGCTGTGTGGTTAGTGTGGCTAAGATCTGAGTGGTAACTGAGTAAATATTTTCTGTCTAGACTCAGAATAACTCCAGTGCAKGTGAGGACTGGGCTGGGAATGTGCATTGGAAGTTTTAGCTGGCAGTTGCTTTGTTTTGCTCTGCCCAAGGATTAGCGTCAGGGAGTTCACCTAATGCATGTATCCATGGGTTAAACGTCTTATCCATGTTCCAGCAGGCTTGTTTCTCCATGGGTAGTGTGAGCTGCAAATTATTTGCTGGTTGTCCAGATGTGGGAGCAGAGAGCTGGTGCTTGGAGGGATTTGGAAGATGCCTGGGAAAGCTGCAGCTCGCTGGGGATGAGCTGGAGGTGGCTGGGGTYTGTCCTGGACCGACAGGTGGCAGCTCATAGTCAGAAAAGAGSATCTCTGGGGGAGCCAGCCCTGCCATTGCTTTGTTTTACAGCAGTGCAGGCAGCACAGGCCTTTTCCATTGCCTCTACAGGGCACAGTACATTTATTAAGGTAARAATTTATAAGCGTTAAAGATTCCTATATCAGTAGGAACGGTAGAGGAAGTCTAGATGAAGTTGCACAGCAGAAGATTTCGATTTCCTCTGCAGTCCTGCTTATGGCATATTGCCAGATCTGCAAGGAATTTTGTATTAAATCAGTTTTTGGAGTTTGTGCAATTCAAGATGTATGAACAGAACAAGATCAACTCCATACCAGATTTCACTAATGTGAAAAGTCACCAAAAGATCACCAAAATTCACTAAAATCCTCAAATGAAGCAAGCAGTGAAAAAAAAAATGCTCTCTTCTCACGTCTGCAAACACACTGATGCCTGTGTTGCTCTTTGATAAAGTATTTATGTGATGAAGTACTTGTTTAATTTATCTCCATCCATTGTTAGTACACCTGCTCTCTGATTTCTGATAACATGGGACTGCTTTGTATTTCAAACCAAAAAGAACAGCTTCATTTCTGCTGTTGAAGTTGAAACTTCTTAATCTTTAATTCTCTCCAAGCACGTTGCATGCAAGTYGTTTCCTCAGATGTATGGAATGTGACTGAAAATTGGTACATCACCATGTCTTTTTGCACACCCTCCTTTCTCCCACCCCTTATATTTTTCCTCTGAGTTCTTTTATATCTGATGGCTTTTTTTCAGTTCACTGTATTTCATGACTCTGACTTGTCTGCTCAGAACAGTTCTGCCAGGAGGACTTGGCAGTGTTGGGGTTTTTTTAATGCACTTGCTGCATTGTCTAACCATAAGTCCATTCACACTTTTTGGGAATGATCTGGAACCTTTTTTTATCATTTGATTGAAATAGCTTGGAATGGATTGTTTAGGGCAAAACTCACATGTTAAAGACTGAATTCTAGGCTGCCTTGCAAAAATTGTTCAATATATGCTTTTGGGATATAAACTGTGTTTAGCTCTGACTAAACCAGAGGTGTATTTATGAGCCTGGCGTAGCTTTTGTAGTTTGTGAGCTACCTTGGTTGGGATGGTGATGGGCAGTGTCCTGGAATGTGTATTTGTTATGGGGCTTGGCTGTTTATTTTTTTCTGGATCTTTTACCACAGGAGAGCTGGTTCTGCTGAAGTGTGGGCAGGGTGATGGTTCAGAAACTGGCTTGGTGAGAGCTCGTGTAAATATATGCTTGTCACTTTGATCAGACTTGTGCTTGCTTTTGTGAGTCYTGCCAATAAGTGGATAGGGAAATTTTCTAACAGCAGTGCTTGGAGCTTTTAGGATAGAAGGCTCCTTTGGGGTGAGTTATGGTGAGAGTGGAAATGAGGGGCTTCGTTCTGTCTTCTGCTTAATTAATCTTAAGTGACAGAAATCATGGCTGCTCTGTCAGGTCCACATCTCCCAGTTTGACAAAGCCAGCTCAGGTATCACCAGTAATGGGGAAAAAACTCAGCATGGTGATGAGGGCATTGATTTTTGTTCATGTGGCTTTTGTACTGCAAGCCTGTGGCACCATTCCTGTCACTGATCCAAGCACATCCCTTTTCTGAAACGGAATCAAAGAGAAACATTAATTGCAGCAAACAGTTTGCAGGCAAAACASTCCTCTGGTAAGTGGCTATGGAATGATCTCTTCCAGAGCTGGCATGGAGCATTCCAAGTGCAGGAAGGCTGTTGAGGTCTCTGGGTAGTTGCCTTGGCTGCTCTCTTTATGAACTGGACTAAAAAATATGCACTTCTATATCTCAGCATAATGTAGGTGTGCACCTGCATTGCTGCATAGATAAGATAAATTCACAGTGATATTTGAAGCAAAGCCTGTAGCTTGGGCAGGTATTTTAGKGATTTTTCACCCACTGGGAGAGCAGTAAATAGTCTTAGATTGTAAAGATGGGACTGGAAATTGAGGTCACAGTATAATATGCAAGACCTTTTTTTTTTACCTTGTTTACTTTATGCCGGGCTAAGTATTTCATAGCAAAAGTAAATTTTTTGTKCAGTTTGTGAAATAAATAATGGAGAGGTCCTGTTAAAAATGCATTGGCTGGCTTCCTTATTTTAATATTAATAAGGCAGGTTGCTACAATAAAATTAGCTCTGCATGGTGTTTGTCACTGTACTGCCAAAGCAATCCAGTCTAATGCCATTCCTTCCTGAAATAAATCCCCAGGAGAGCAGTATTTGTGCTGTTCTRAAACCTCTAACCAGGGAAGTTGGAGTAGAACTGTAAATTATGGACAATGCAGATTTTAATCTGGGATTCCCAAGTCTGTCTTTGGCCTTGTGGCTTTTTGGCTGCTTATGTGAGGTGTTTTAATGCTCTTTACACACGTTTTGTGTCACTGCTGTAGTGACTAATATCCAACTGCTTGGCTTATCATTCCAATGGACAGYGTGGTGATCATATCTGTATGGTCTCATAGTCCAGAAAACATCCTATTTCGGGCAAAATAGTGAACTGTGGAGGTACTTAGCTCAAACTGCAGTGTCCTAGGACACAGTGCCTTGGTTCAAGAGCCTGAAGATGAAGGAGCAGAGGAAAAATAGGGACATTGCAGTTGGCACAAAGGAGATACTGTCTTTTTTCTTTTTTTCTTTTTTTTTCCCTGCTAAAGATGAATCTGTGCCTTTAAAAGGAGAAGCCCTTTACCAGCCCTGCACCTCTGTGATTTATAGTATGTGTTTATCTGARCCACAGAGCAAAAGGGAACAAACCTGTAATGCTGATACATTTTGTTCTGTGACCAGAACAGCATTTTTGTGCTTATAAATAATAGGAGAACTCATTGTAACAAAGGCCCTGTCAACTGGTGATATTTAGGTTAAAACAAGTGTTAGGGGGTTATTTGATCATGGTTGTAGACACACTTCTGTTGAAACCTGCATTTAAGGCAAGAATRAACTCTCTTCATTTTACAGTTTGCRTTGTTAGTTTAAGATCCAAATTGAACTACACTCAAATTTTGCCTGCCAACTGGATCTTTTTAAGATTTTATTGAACGTGGAAGTCTGTGAAGCAGGGAAGCACATATGTTTAAATACCATCAAGGTCTATGGGTCCAAATATCTGCCTAAGTGTTTTCTTGAAAACAGTCATGTTTCAAGTAGGCTTTTAAAATTTCCACTTTAAAGAAATGTCTTGAGAGTCTAAGACTGGGAGACACTTCCTTTCAGAATGGCAAACATCCATTCTGAATAAGCAGATCTTTGTAGTTCTGTGTTATTTCTACTTCTTATGTAGAAGTAACATGTAATGGTAAAAACGTATGGAATGATGGGTTGTGTTTATTGCATGGAATTTCTATAGACTGCATGAAACGGAAAGCCTTACTTTAAGTGGTAATACTGGCATCAGTATTAYTACCATAAACTACCCATGTCTTCTTCCCCTTTTAATTTGCAATCTGCAGAAGTCTTAGCTGAAAATGGAGAGATCTGTTTGTACATGTGAATGATCTCTTTGTGCCAGGGGCYGGGGGAGGTGGAATTCCCTATATTCCTTGGCAAAGAGATACGACAGAAATGTGCTGCAGAAATTTCATCCAGAAGATGAAGGTGTCGGTTGTTGTTGGTTTTTCATCTGCAGCAGAGCAAAAGTGGGACRAGATTAACAAATGGAAACTCTTTGCTTCTCCCTTCTTCCTTCCAAATTACTCCAGAAAAAGGCAAAACAAGCAAAACAGATGATACTATTGTAGCTGGGAGTGCCTCTATGGAGTCCTGGCCATTGCCAGCTGCATGATTTTTTCTTTTCCTCTATCCTGCCAGATGAGAATGTTGGAAGGAGAAAATAAAATAGCTGGGTAAGCACAGCCCCACAATTTTGTCCCTATATAAGTTACTGATTTACAAAATAGGGTCTCAGGAAGACGCTGCAGGAGCTAAATCTGTTTTTATGTTCTTTGACATATTAAAATCTAGTCAAAATATGATTTTCCCATCTGGGTAAAGAGCATGCTTGCTGTCTCAGGAACACTGTGTCTTCCTGGGTACAGAAAATGAAAGATGGGAGAGGAGACAGCTCACAACATCACAGCTGAGAAGCTGATATTTATTCCACACTTCTCTACTTGTTTAGACTGTTCCCCATCCTGTATTCTAATTTCTCTGTACTGGTGGAATTTACTTCATTTTGAGGCGATTTTCTTCCTCTTTGGCCTRTATATCATATGTTTGCTACTGAATTACTTGAAAAATGTTGAAACTAATTAAAATCAGGTTGGCATTATTTACTGCTTTCAGTGTGAAGATAATCTGCCTAGCAGCCAGGAAGGTACAGCTGAAGCAGCACCCGAAGGTGGGCTGGAAGACAGAGTGGATGTTCGWTACCTGCAGTGTTTGGATGGGAGGCTGAGGTTCCAGTGGAGGAGTTTGCACGCTCAGCACCAAGAGCAATGCAAACTTTTGCACAAGGTAAATGATTCTTCTAACTCACTATGACATAGTTTATTATTTAAAAGCCTTGTCAGCTAGAGCTAAATGTACAAATTATTCTTGTTTGCTAGTTCTGCATTTTCCTGTAGATAAGAGTGAATTACTCTGAATATAAGTGCCTCCAACTTTCTCCAGCGTGGCAGAACCRTGAGAAAATGTAGTATGTACAGTGTTTGTAAGGTTGTAATTGTATAAAAGTCTCTTTTGCAGGTTGGCACATTTGTCACTTCTGCAACCATYGGCTGCTGCCGTTTTTCTCAGAAAATGCCTGGTAGAAACAAGATAGAGCAKTCTGGTTCCCCAGACAGGAAGTAGTGATGCAGAACTATAAGTTCACTGGAAATGTGMATTCAAAATGTTGAGCATAAATATTGAAAGTAAGAGCAAAATAAAATGCACAGTATCTTTCCAAAGTACTAGAGGATAGCTCAGCAGAACCCAAAATCTCCCTGCTTTTAAATCAGGACTCAGTAACAGCCTCTACACTGCTAAGACTCCAGTTCTGTTTCATTTWTGAATGTTTAGATGCCTGTCAACTCAGAGACATCTGGGAGCATTATGTCTGTTTAGGATGGAACCAGCCTTCAGTCCCAAAGCTGACAGTGATGGTGACTGCAAAGATAAATTTAAAAAAATAGTTCCAAAGATAGTCCTAAAAGTTACTAAGTATTGTTTTCCCTAGGTSCCCTTTCTCCATTTATATCTCTTTGGATACCTTAAATGGAGCTAGCTAATACTGTACTCAAAAACTTCACAGAAGTTTTCACCCTTTTTTGAGACTAAAAATGGTTGGGAGAAATTTCTTCCCAAAGTACACCTCAAAAAGTTGTCTTTACCTTTGAATGAAGGTGCCTTCTTGGTTTTAATCCTATGTCTGACAGAGCAGTGCTAAAAACTATAATGAGGTTACATTCTGTTCTTTCTGTGAACTGATTGCTAGGGAAGATGTCTGATTGACAGCCCTGGGGAAGAAGGATCAGGTGCTGTGTGTGCAGCATCTAAAACAACCTTTTGCTTCTCATTGACCGCTGCTGATGTGCTTCCCTGATCTGGGAACAAAGGTGGCAATTCCCTCTGAGTGCAGGTGCAGTTCTTGGCTTTTTGCAGTGTGATTACAGACTGTGATGGGATTGGGAGAGGTGAATCTCAAATGAAATGATTGGCATCTTCTCCCCTGATAAACCACCTCTCTTCAAGGTATGCTGGTTTTTCTAGTAGGTGAGGCAAATGCCTCCATAACTCATCATCTGTGCTCTGATTTATGTGGGACTTGACAGTAACAAATCAKTAGGCAGCTCCAGTGCCTCAGCTTGCAGTTAATGAGGCCAAGGAAGAATTAAGAGCAGGTCAAAYCTGGGAGCTGGAGTACAAACAGATACTCTCAATGGCCCAAAAGAGGCAATGAAGTAATGAAGAGATGTGCTGATTGGGGCAACTTGCTAAATTTGTTGACAGGGGAGATGAGAGACGATGACCCTCCTGTGGAAGTTGTACTTTGAAATAAACTTGGACTTTTTTTCCCCTCTGTGGCTGCCTAAGGCATAATGCTTGCTAAAGTTAGGATGTTAGACAAATGTAAGAGACAGGTTAGTTATGCTGCAGGTTCCCTGAGCCACAATTTCCACACTCTGGAGGAGTAAGCAGGAGGGAGAATGTTTCTCTGTTCATCTAGCTTCCCAAAGCTGCCATTACTGCCTTCTTCAGCAGTCATCACTGCACTAAACTGAAAGCAAAGGTGATGCTGGTGATGATGATTCCCACAGTCGGGGCTGCCACCATGAAGGTACACAAAGGAGGATGGAAACAAGCCCAACTCCTYCATTTGTGAACCCACACTGGTATTATGTGTGCAGCTGTGGGAGTTCTGTTCAGAGCTGTAATGAAGTGCAGTGCTCTGGTTTATACTTTAGTCTGAATKCAAAGCAGAAGAATAGAAAGGTAAATGTGACTTTGGAAGGACTTCATTACAGTGCCACATTAATGTTAGCATTTATGGTAACAGAAAATAGAATATACTTACACAATTGAACAGCTGTATAAACAATAATTGATATTTCCTGACTCTGTCTAGAGAAATTGCTTTTACTGCTGYATTAATTTTGAAATTTTTAAACTATTCTATTTGTTAGAAGACTGAACTGACCCAGTATGACCTCTGTATGAGCTGCTGCTTTTCTCTAATAAACCACAAACACAGTATGCAAAAGGCTAATGAGTGTTATGTTTTTTAATTATGCTGGCAGATTTACAGAGGGCTTTCTCTACAAAATGATAATTACGGCTTTTACTCGCTCTGTTTAATAACTTACCAGGTTATGTGTCTCAGCTGAGGAACAATCTTATTTACTGCTGATCAGGAGCTATAATTTTTGCCAACTAGTGGCGACACTTCCATAGATTTCATTCTCTGACTCACACGGGCTCTAAAATACCATTTTCTCTTTTTGGGCCTTTCTGAGAAAAGCACAACATAGTTGGAAAATATGTTCTCACTCAGAAGATGACTGCTCTTCCACTCTGTATTTTTTCCTATGGATATTGCTGGGCTCTGTAACTACTCAGTCCTGCCTSCAGCCACCTAAGGTTGATGGGATGAAGTTCTGCAGTACCCAAGAGAGGGAAGCCTCCCTGGAGCTACAGCTGGTTCTGTGCTGGGAATTGCTTATTAAGTGGCCTGCCTGGCTGTTCTCTTTGCTAGCTGTTCTTTTCAGTGACTTCACCTCCCAGAAGGCATGTTGAAGCTTACAGAAGCACACGTGTCCTGCAGTAGGAGGAAGACTTCCTGAGGGAAATCTTAACCTCTCTGTTTCTGAGGAATTTTGCAGCCTGAGGCTATGAGCTGTTGAATAACATTATAATGGCTTCTCAACGTGGACAGGTTGGCTCTCTTTGAGAGTATAATGTAGTAATAACATTAGAATTCCCTCGAAATTCTCTGTGGTACATATTTACTTGAAATGCCTTCAAATATATGGAAACGTGGAGAATAAATTACTGTGTTAAGGCACATCTGTTGGTTCCTTCTATTCTCTTTCTTCCTCTTTCTGTCAAGTGCCAGAAGAGTATCTGTCTGCCCAGGTTTTGATCGCTCTTGAATTCATAGGAGAGAACAGTTGTTTTTATTTAGTCTTTGAGTTACCACTTTACCTTAAGAAATGGAAGCGAGAAGCCTTGCATAGAATCAGCAAAACAGGTAGGAACCTCTATAGATAAAAACTGGCATTTTCTGGGGACTCTGTTAAATGCACTGTGCCACAATCAACATGTTGTAAAAAACAGTGGAACAGGTGAGTTTCTGCAAAACTGATGGGCTTCCTGGGGTTATTTTCAGCTATTTTCCATCCCGAAGTAGTGGAGAGTTAGATCAGGTTCAGAGATAATTTTTTTTTAAGCAGGTGAATAACCGATTATGGGCTGTGTGTATGGGTTAGTAAGAATAAAATGATATTAAATGGAATTCTTGATGACAGAAGAAGAGTTTAACATAATTGGACTTATCAGATGATGGTAAAGCAACAATAATGGTTGTAATATGCTTGGAAATGAAGGGCAGGAGTTGTTTTCTGTCAGTGAGAACGAGGAGCAGCATTGGGAATTACCACCTGTGATGGAATGGTTTCTGGTACTGCCTCTAAGATAAACAATATAAAATAAGATGTAGTGCAGTGGATTGGATGGGTTGTATCTATATATCTGATGTAGTATGAGTAAAGGGACAAGGACAAAGTCTTGATCTCGGAATAATAGAGGGCAGGGACTGGTGCTGGGTAATTACCTCATTGTCAGTAATTTATGAGTGAGCTAAACTGCAATTGTTAGATGCATCTGTATCTTGACATGAAAAATCTACCATGTTGCTCTGGGAATTGCTATGTTGTTTATTTATATATTTTCTGTCTGTTCTGTTTGAAAATCTTTGCTTTTTTTCCTAAGGTGAATTTGCCATTAGATCTCAGAAACACATTSTTTAATGCGGTAGAATTTTTTCCCTCTCATGCAAATGTGTGTGAACTATGAGCAAGCCTCCTTTTCATCTTCTCGTAGGTGAATTAGACACCCTGCAGGGAGAGCAGCTTGTCTGAGCTCAAGGGCGTTTAGGAATTGGTACTGGAAGCTCCCAGAAGTTGTGCTAAGTGTGGGGGGCTGTCCCTGTGCTGTTGCAAAGGTTGATGAAAGGTTAAATCAGACCTGTCTCCACCTTGGACTGTTCCAGTACCAAGATGCAACAGCTCTGCATGTTCTGCCTCTCACCTGCTGCTTTTACCCCTGTGCTGTTTCCCTCTGTAAGCATCATTTTATCTTCAGTGTGTCCTGGTTATCAGGAAGAGATAGCAAAAATACAAATACTGGATTATTCCAGTATCCATCTAGTCTGGTCCCAGGGGAACACCTTACTCCTCGGTTGTTACAGCTTTAGTGTATTTGTTTTGGGCTTTAGCCGGGGATGCTGCTGCCACATCCTTTGGAAAAAGGGCTGAAATTCACTGCTGGTGCTGGGGTCCCAAAGTTTTGGCAGCCAGAGTTACGCAAGAATGCAGCAGGGAGAGGAGTGGCAAGTGGAAAGGAAGAACATTGTGTGGGGAGGTGCTCTTTTATTTTTAAACCCGCATAGCTCTGCACATGTGACAGATGGTTGTCACCAGCAGTGAGTTTTGGGAAAGGAACGCTAAAATATTCTGAAGTTTCATGGAAGGGTTGATAATTACCCAGTGCCTGTCAACTTTAAAATAGTTGTCAATACCCAAGTGTGTGATAAAGCTCGCATTAGAATAAAGGAAGAAAAGCAGGAAACATTCTCTGTCTTCTGGCAGAAATATTAATGAAATATGAGTGATTGTCTGACAAATGTGCACTGCTATCTTGTTTGGCAGCTGCAGTTATTACAGTAACAAAGGGATCAGCTCTGAATAGGAGGAATTGGTTTTTATTGTTCCCTTGACTAACTTGGGAAGCTTCTTCATCAAGTAATTGATGATACTATCACCAGTGCAGCTGGGACAAGGTCTTGGTAAGCAAAAGCCAACAGTGTAGAGCAGCAAAAGAAAATCTTACTGTAACTAGGTAGCATTTTCTACTTTAAAGGAAGAAATAAAAATAATTCTGAGAGTATACTTTAGCTCTGGTAAGACTTCTGCAGTCTAAGTGATTTCTTCTTTCATGTTATGCACAAGAGCATGCATATTGTGAGGAAAAGGACTTTAGGACAGGATAAAAAAAGGAAATATTTCAGTTTTACTGTTTTACTGCAGCAGTGGCTCCAATTCCTGCATGTGGTTCTGGTAACACTACCAGAGGGACTGTTTTGTGAGACGATTGTGGTGCATGCTCATCCTTTCCATTCTGGCTATTTTAAAAAGAGCTGTGGTGCTGCTGGTAGTAGCTACATTTGTACATGTCCACTGGGAATGAGTTTGTAGCCTGGTTCACATCACCATTCCAATCCACACAGCTGTTGGATAGTAGTTAATGATGTTGTTAATAATCTGGTCCTTGCACTGACAAATATCTTTAAAATTAATCTATTCCAGATCCACTTATTCACAAGTGGCTCTCACATGGACAAGATCCTTGGACATTTTTCTGTCACAGAAACAGATCTCGTTAGACAACCAGAGAACTACAAGCAGGTAATGCTTCTCTAATTTTGGGATGCTCAGTATGCTTTACACAAACACTGTGAAGACTGCATTCCTTATAACGTTTTTTAACTTAGTTTCCAACAGAAATATGGGCTTATATATTGAATTTTGAGTTTCTTCCCTTATTTGTATTCACCAAATCTGGTTTTATAGAACACAAACCCAAAGGTATATTAAGCTAAGTTTTATAAAACCTGATAGACAAGGAGTGGGAAGAGACCTGACTGAAAAGGCTTGTGGAATAAAACACTCTAGATAAGTTGGCTGACTTGCTGTTGTATCCTGGGCCAGCSAGGCACAGTGTCTGCCTGTGGCCTTGCCTGAGCAAGACAGAACCTCTTAGGACAACACSATTTTTCCCAGTGTAATGTTTTATCTGGAAGGATAAATTCCTACTGCTCTCAATTACTCAGTTATCATAGATGTTTCAGTTCATTATTTGAAGTAGTTTAATTCACTTTTTTAAATACAGTATAATGCATTTGTTTTAAAAAATTAGTTTCTAAAAGTTGATTCTGTATGAAATGGAAACAAGATGGAAATTTCAAGCTYGTCCCTAACAAAATCAATATTTGACAAGTTTCTGCAGTCTGTCCAGACGTGTTTGCTCAAAGATGATACTCTTTCTGCTGCTTGCTTAAGAAGGAAAGTGGGCATTGTAAATATTGCACACAAAGAAATTGGGGAAAGTAGATTTGAAGGTGGGAGGATAGTTTTGTGTTCTAAGCCCCTAAAGTAAAGTGCACATTAATCTTTTATAGCCGAGYATTTCTTGGATGAACCAGCCTCTTGGTAAGATTCACCTGTTTAGAACATTTKCCTGTAAAATTATTGTTTTTCTGGAGTAAATGGCATTAAGTCAGCTTGAGATTTCCTTTTTACTTTTGCTTCWCCGTCCCCCTCCTGTGGCTTGCTCAGCAGCTCAGAACACACAGCAGCACATTGCTCTGAACTCTATAGACTTCCAGATCTTAGCAAATGTCTGTAAAGGTCTGGCAGGCTGGAATTAGAAATTTCCAGGCTGTGCAGAAGGACTTTGCAGCTACCTTTTTCTCGAAGCCTTACCCTGAGTATGTCACTGATCTCTTACAATAAAGCTTAATGATACCGTTGGTTTTTGGCTTTGGCTGCTTTGTTAATGAATCATTCCAGGAGCTTTTTCTTGCATTCTGCTCCCTTTCCTGGATGCCTGCTCCAGATGTTCTGTTCAGGGGAGACTCAGCAAAAAATGGAAAGAACCTTTTCGTAGTGCAAAGCATTGTGGTTAGRTAGAGTGCTGTAGTCAAGAAGGATCAGTGGGCAGCTGTGTTGTTTAACTAAAATCAATGAAGTCTTCATTCCATCTTTCCCATGCTTCAGTAGCAAATACATGAAACAAAACTAGGGTGATGACTGAGAGGCAGGGTGACAGAAGATGTTTTCTTTAAATAAACTATGAGTGGCTACAGTCTGTCTCCAGTTTCTTGGCTCTGATAGGTGCAATCCCAAACAGGCTCCAGCTCCAGTGCATGTGTGTTGGAAATTCTTTTCTTACGTCGCTTACTGCTTGGACTGATCCAGAACTGGAGTTATTTGTCAGTATAATCAGCTGTGAAATTCTTAACCTCTTAAAGYTCTCAGCCTATATAAGAAAGGAGCTCTAAGCTGCTCCCTTGTGCCTGATTCTAAAATAAACAGGAGAAATTGCAGGAAATCATCACAACATTTGAGTAYACATGTTTTTGAGATCCTTATAATTTTTATGGCCACCACTTGAACATTCTTTGTAGATTTTGTCTCCCCTTACCCTTATTTCTCAAAAGCAGCTTCTGGAAGTCAAATGTTCAGTATGTATGAAGAGCCTGATACAACAAGGTGGTATGGACTTGAAAAGACATTRTTGTTTTGAGTGTCACTTCTCCAGATGGATCTAATATTCAATATGCAAAGTGATGCTGCTTTGGAAAACGCAATAAAAGGCCTTTYATTTTCAGATATCTTGCTAAGATTAAGTAAATTATGCATATTTGAATAGCTTGGTTTTCAAATATTGGTGCAGATGGCAGCACTCTGCCAAATGCTTTCTCCAAAAACTGTGAAACTATTTTTTCCTTTTCAAGTAAATGAGACATTTCTCTTAATGTTACCTCAAGTAAGAACCCGCTGTGTGGATCAATAAAAAGAGCAAGCATGTCAATATGCTTTACTGTAATGCACCACCCTTGGTGGATGGTGTTCTGAATTCCTTCTCATCTCRGGCATCCTTCAAAGCATAGCAATGCAAAGTGGATCAAAATGTCAGAAATTCGCTATCACAGAAAGGACTTGGGCTCTTCTTGTTTAAGGCTCGAGTTCATTCTCATCAAAAATACCCTGTGAGATAAGTTGCTCTACTTGCAGCAAAACAAGAGATGTTTAGTCTGACAGCGAAAGTGTGATAGGATACAGATAGCTGTGAAGTCAAGCTTCACTTTGTGAAATGTAAAAGTCACACTGCTCCTTTTCTGTAGAAGATGCACATTAACTTATTTAAAATGTTCTTTCCTTGGATTTTTGACTGTAAAACACTTTTAGTGCTTTTATGTACAGGGATTTTACTGGACATTATTATTATTCTATCATCATAAATGTCTTTGTCAGATTCATAGGGCTGGAAGTTTTCCAAACCTAATGGTTTTAATTATGTTTTTCTCTAGTGAGGCATGATCAAAATTCCAACTTTTCCTGTGGTTTGGCTGTGGTTATATATATGTGTGTGGCCGTGAGTTGCAGGTTACTTCTCTGTTTAGTTCCTGTGCTGCCTGGGGGTGTCAGGGAAGGGGAGGTGGTGTTATTTCAGCTGGAATTCAGTTTCCAGTGGAAGTGCAGAARTGCCTCAGTCAGTGGGGATGGTTCTGGAGCTGTTTGCTTGAGGCCATGCTTGRGCACACAAACTGGGGACAGCTGCAGGGAGCTTGGTGGGGGTCATTGTGTCTTTTCTGTAAAAGTCTCTTGCACTTATCACTTAGAGTGGGCTAGAACATGGTCTAGAGCATCTTGAGTGTCTTGTGTTTTGATGYATTTTCCAAGCTGATGGGTACTGCTCTATTTTTAAGTGGTTCCCCTCATCAGCTGAGGTGAAGTGGGGGGCTGCTGTTGTTTGCCAGCCTGAAATATCTTCAGGGCAGAAATGGAGTTGTGGTCCTTGGCACWGCAGCTGAAATAGTTAGGAAACATACCTGGGACAGCATGCAGAAGAGATGTGGCTGAGGGTAAGCAGCATCTGCCCCAAACTTTTCAGGGCAGTAATCTTTTCCAAGGATGCAGCCTCATTCCTCTTTCTCATCTATCAGGTCTACTTATCTTAATTCTATACAGCAGTGTTGCCAGTTCTGAAGTTTACCTTGGGCTCAAAAAAGTGTATGCTGCACTTGAGTCATTAAATTAACTTTCTCATCAAATTGTTACAATATAGAGATCAATGAACTTTAAATCAAAGCRCCCAAGTCCTTCAGTTTCTTCTGTCTCTTCATATACTGCTTTGTATGTGGAATTCAATCTTAGCAGAGATTAAAAGTTGAAACTCAGGTCATTGGTGCAATGCTGGCAGTGCTGGAGTGATCATTGAAATTGTAATGAGTAAAGATGACACCTTTAAATGCCAGTAAATCAATTTACTGAGTGTGACAGCAAATAAATAATGCAGCTGTCTGCCAGATGGACATGCAATGAAATTTATAGAACTTGGATGTGAATAGCTAATAATTTTGTTTCATAAATTTATGAAAAACSTTTGTGTTTGTTGATCATTAACACATTTTAAAGGTGATTTATATGGCTTAAGGAACTAAGGTTCTTGGTAGCAAGTAAATAGGAGCAAACAAATAGTCTGTCRGACTTTGCATACATAATATATGGTCAATTCCATGCCCATAAAAAATTCAAGTGAGCTTTAGCTCTCCAAGCAGCAGGGATTGGGTGGGATGGTATRGAATGGTACAGGCATAGCACTGATCTGCTTTCTGGACTGTTCATTTATCAGGGAAGGACACCAATGTAAAGTATCCATATTGCTTCCTTCAGTCAGGTGGGATCCATAATTTCTTATTGTGTCATTCAAGGGACAAATGATCAAGGTGTGAGGTAAGTTGATAGTGAACCCTAAATCTTATGGCAGTTTTCATTTAAAACATCTGTCCCAGATGGCTGTTACAGATGGGTGACATAACAGGTTTATTCTCTGTGAGTAATAGCCTGTGGTTTGAATTCATGCAAAGCACTAAAGAGCTGCTGTTCTTTCCAGAACAAGTGCATTCAGATTGGAAGCGTTTGGAGCTGATAGACTTGGAATTTTCAGAAACRTCAAATGTGCATTTACCTCTTACTTTGCATTAAATTTGAGGCTTCAGTTGGTGTCCTGTGCATGCACGTGTGGGCTTGCATGAAGTGCTACCGATCTGCTGAAGTTTTTATCTGCAAAGAGAAGCCAGTGATTTCAGTGCATCCAAGGGACAGCAYCACCTCCTGGAATGTGTGTGGGGGCAGAGCTGCAAAAGTGAGGTCTGTCAGCTAATACACRTTATTTGCCTGCTGAATAATTACTGTGCCACTGAATGAGCTCCAGAAATGGATCCCAGGTTGTTCACCCTCTCGAGGATGAAAATGGAATAACTGTGGCAGGATAGTACCAGCTGCTGTGTCCCAGGCTATATTTGGTGTCCTTGTGTTGGTTGTTTGGGACTTCCTGGAATGTTCCCGGTGCTGACAGACGCTGCAGGCAGGCGCTAAATGAAAATAAACAGCTAAACCCCTCTGATAAGCCTGACACCATGTCACATTATTGATTTGACACAGACCTGTGCTAGTATTTTTGTAATCAACCCTTTTGTGGTCTTGTATGGTGAGGTGAAGGATATGTAACCTTATTTGAATTTCAAAGAGCCTSTTAGGGAGCTATCTGATATTTTATGATGTCTTTCCATCTGTTGTACAAAAAGCAGTTGAAGCAACACACTTCTCACAGTGTAGAT